GATCGACACCAGGCGGGCGCCAGCGCGCACAACGTCCTTGTTTCCTCTTTGGTGCAAAGGGGGCAAGCGCAGCCGCAGAGTACCGATGCATCAGGCAAAGGTTGCCATTTCGGTGCAATAAGACGTGGACCAAGGACTGCAATATGGAGGTCATCGTGGAGCCCAGAACAGCGTCACCACCAGAACTTTGTGCAGGCGAAGACTACTTTTGTCAGGATAGCTTGTACTAGCTGTCCCCCTTCAAATTAGCCCGCCATTGTTGGCTCCCTTCCCGCTCGATATTTGGGAAGAGGACCAGGGCCTCTATAAATAGGACTAGCCACCACAGTAGAGGGGACGAGCGGATCTTAGTTAGAGAGGGGACGAACTCATCTCATCTTGAGAGAGACCACCCCCACACACAAGCTCACCGAGCTCAAGAACGCCTCAACCTCAGGAGGCCATTCTTCCCTTGTATTGTTCATCATCAGCCCGAGAGGCAATCCACCACCACCACACTGGAGTAGGGTATTACACCACAACGGTGGCCCGAACCAGTATAAACCTTGTGTCCATCTGTGTTGTGAGTTCGTCGAGTTTGTCCGCGAGATCCTAGCAAGCTAGAGCGTAGATCGATTGAAGGGAAAGACTTCGCGTGCACCCCAGTGTTCGAACCTTAAGGGTTGCCGGGACCCCATACCCCGACAAGGTTTGACCGATAAAGATCTTCATAGAATATGTAGAAACCAATATGAGCATCCAGGTTCCACTATTGGTTATTGACCAGAGATGAGTCTCGGTCATGTATACATAGTTCTCGAACCCGTAGGGTCCGCACGCTTAACGTTCGATGACGATTGGTATTACGAGTTTATGTGATTTGATGTACCGAAGGTTGTTTGGAGTCCCAGATGTGATCACGAACATGACGAGGAGTCTCAAAATGGCCGAGACATGAAGATTGATATATTGGAAGGCTATGTTTGGACATCGGAAAGGTTCCGGATTAGTTCGGGCATTTTTTGGAGTACCGGGGGGTTACCAGAACCCCCCGGGGGCTTAATGGGCCTACATGGGCTTTAGTGGAAGAGAAGAGGAGGCGGCCAAGAGGTGGGGCATGCCCGCCCCAGGCCCAATCCGAATTGGGAGGGCCCCCCTTTCCTTTCTCTTCTTCTTCCCTTCATTCCCCCTCCTAGTTGGACTAGGAAAGGGGGGAACCTACTCCTAGTAGGAGTAGGATTCACCCCTTGGGGCGCGCCATAGGAGGCCGGCCGGCCCCTTCCTCCGCTCCTTTATATACGGGGGAGGGGGGCACCCCATAGACACACAAGTTGATAATTGTTTTAGCCATGTGAGGTGCCCTCTCCACAGAAACACACCTCGATCATATTGTCGTAGTGCTTAGGCGAAGCCCTGCGTCGGTAACTTCATCATCACCGTCACCACGCCGTTGTGCTGGCAAAACTCTCCCTCGACCTCAGCTGGATCTAGAGTTCGAGGGACGTCACCGAGCTAAACGTGTGCAGATCGCGGACGTGTCGTGCGTTCGATACTTGATTAGTTGGATCGCGAAGACGTTCGACTACATCAACCGCGTTACTTAAACGCTTCCGTTTTCGGTCTACGAGGATACGTAGACACACTCTCCCCTCTTGTTGCTATGCATCTTCTAGATAGATCTTGCGTGATCATAGGATTTTTTTTGAAATACTACATTTCTCAAATAAAGTTGAGACACTTATTTTGAGACGGAGGGAGGGAGTACTATGCTAGCAGATCACTAAAATATACTTTCGAAAATTATAAGTTTTTACTCCTAAAACACAATCGTTTAGACAAAATTTAGCGAGCAGCATGCCTTCTTAGTAAAAATAAGCGAGCCGTTCGACTCTTACCCGACCGCACCGCAGTCGTTGGAACCCGCACTGCCGGCCATTTGCCACCTAGGTGATCGAGAAAATGAAACCTCCCATCACCCCACACCTCCAGTGACCCTCGCTGACGTCGGAATCCTGCGTTTTGGACTAGACGGAATTTCATCGTGACGGTGCCTATAGTCACATCCTCCTCCTTCACGGCGTTGTTGCTCCTAGCACGGGCAAGGGCCATGTTCAGGGTCCCAGCTTCCGTCGGCGTCGGTGCCACCGGCCGAGCCACCCTTGTCCTCACCATTGATTTCCCGGGTTGGTCGAGCTCATCCACGATGGCACCTCCAACCGCCTCGCCAAGCGAGCTGGTCAACCTAGTGTGATCAACGAGCGCCAGGATGCAACCCTACCGGAGCTAAAACTGGCGTCAACCGGGAAGAGCGCGTGCACGCTGCAGGCGTCGTCTAGGGTGAGCTCCACCTTGCGGGAGATGGCTCAATATTTTGACACTTTCACATGAGTATTTATTTGGTTGTTCGAAGGGTTTTTATGGTTCTCACCCTTTTTAATGATAATCTATGAAGAACAAATAGACCTTATTTTCCTACTTGATGTGTATGACCAAACACTTTTCCAAGGAAGTCAGCCAATACCCTTGTCATTGAAGCAATTTGGAGCAACTTCCCTTTTAAGTAAACTGTCATTTGGCGCACCAGAGAAGAAGACAACATCTTGTATGAGCATGACGTACAAGCGATTGTACAAGCCATCATCGCTCCCCTTATCTATCCAAATAACTTTTGTGAAAAGGAGAGGACGATCAGAGGCCATTTAGCTGGTTATTCAGAGATTGAGATCGATGATCATTCATACTATTGTGATACTTTGCGATATTATCGATATGATTCCTCCCCGTTTAATGTACGTGCATGTTTATTGGTTATTCCCCTATCACGCGTAAATAATTCCACATAGGCGTGAGAGATGTGGGGAATAAGTGAGATTCATTTGTGCCCATTCTTTATGTCCTTATTTGTGAAACTACTCCTATGATTGATTATTTAGTTGTATATATGTAGTGAGCACAATGTGTGTTGTCCAATTTAAGGGCTCAGACAACATGATCCAAAGACCTACACAAATTTTTTGAGAGGTAAACTAAACTTTGTTACTCAATTGTAAGGTTTATAGAAATCACAAAAGGGCCATGAGGTATGCCCATCCACATGTGGCAACCCGCATCTAAAGAAGACAAAAATTTGGCTAAGTTGTGAGCTTCATAGTTCATGGCTCGACCTTCAAATATAAACTAGCAGCTAGTGAATTCTCTTGCCCGAGTAATGACTTCTCTAATAACCGTGTCATATCTTCCATCGGTTCCATTCGTTATCTCCGAAACAACTAGTTTGCAATCAAATGCATTAAAAACTTGATCCAAAGATAATTCAAGTGCAAGGGCTAGGGCTTCTCGGCAGGCGAGTGCTTCTAGAGTAAAAGGATTTATAATGTCGGAAAAGACCGACACAGGTAACACATACCGTTCAAGCCAGCCTCCCCCCCTCTTTCTACTGGGTCATGGCCATGAGCGCTTGGTATTATATGTCACTTGTGCGCCACTTTGTGGGAGCAACTAATTAAGGGGTGCCACTTCGGGGGAACCCAGCGAACACTTTTGGTGGGCTAGGAGTGCCTTAATTAGTTGCTCCCTCAAAGCGACGTGCAAGTTTCCAGCCGCCGCCATGTGCCGCACGCTGGGTGCACCTTGTAGGAGCATGCCTTTTTCTCTTTTCTGCACATATTTTTTTGGGTTTTGACTCCCAGCCCACCAAAAGTGTCTGTTGGGTTCCCCCGAAGCGATACCCTTAATAGTTGTTTCCTCAAAGTGGACACAAGCTCCCAGCCGCCAGCATGTGTCGTGCGCTGGGCGCACCCTACAGGAGCATGACTTTTTCTCTTTTCTGCACACATTTTGGGGGGTTTTGAATTATGCTTGGTTTTTCTATGTTGTTGTTGGAAAAAAATGGTAAGCTAAAAGGAAAAACATAGTTGTTCTTGCGAGGCACAACTGTGCTTCCTGAGAAGAAAAAACAGAAGTACGCTTCCTAAAAAATGAGAAAAGCATAACCTATGCTTCCACACTGAGCACAACTGTGCTTCTCGAAAAAGGAAAAAACACAACTTGTGCTTCTATGAGATGCACAGATACACTTTCTGAAAAGCGAAAAGTGCGGTTGTGTTTCCAAAAGATTGAAAAAGCACAACTCTGCTTCTAGGTTTTGTTTTTTTTTTCAGTTTTGGTTTCCCCCCTTTTTGTCTTTTTATTTTTTGTTTTTATTTCGGTTTCTGACTTTTTTGATTCCTTTTTTTTTGTAAAAAAAACTTCATCGAAACCTATTACCATGGGATCTAGATTTAAAGTCTCGATGCGTGAAATTCAACGGCTCGTGATTTGGACACACAGTTCAAGAGATAATTTTTTTGAAAAAATAAATCTATGAAAAAAGGAAAAGCTTCGAGGTTACGACAATTGGCATGCACGCAGTACGTCACTTGTTCCCAGCAGAGAATGTAAGAGGGACTTTTGCAAGGGGTATCCTTAATCAGTGACTTTGGTGCTTTGCTGTCTGGAGCCTGCATATTGTTTAGTTTAGATGTGCCCGTTGCACTGTTCAGCTCGATTGACCTTCTATTTCGAGTTGTTCTATGGCTAGCCCGATTTCTCCAACCCTCCGAACCAATGATAATCCATCAAGACTGTGAGGGGCACCTTGAGTGAATAGGTTGTCTTTAAAAGATTGGCACGATGAGAGCGATTGCGGTCTCCCTTTTTCTTACCTTTTTAAATCTCCGGCGGGTGGCTTACGATCGACAGAAATACGGCCGATATGATTTTTGGCGTATTTTTTTTTTTTTTGCTGGTCGTTTTGTGCCATGTTGTCTTTCCGTTGAATACTACGTAGACCCCCTCTGATTACGCCTTTTACTTTTAGACAATCTCCTCCTAATTACGTAATTCCCGAAGGGCGCCTTCAACTATGCTACACCAGCTGGGCTCTCTCAGCGCTGGACAGCGCACGCCGCGCAGCTCGCCTTCCCCCTCAGCTAAAACCCTAGCCCGACGCCCCGCAGCAACCTTCTAGAACCTTCTCCACGATGGCGTTCCTCCGAGCCCTCCGGCGAGCCCTCCCGCCGCTCTACTCGCCGGCGGCGCCTCTTTCCCGGCGCGCACCAGGTCCTCCTCCGCTCCCTTCCCGCCCTCTCCGGCTCCTGGATCCGATCGGGTTCCGGCCGTTCTCCGCCGCGGCCGCCACCGCCACCGCCGTCGCGCGGGTGCCGGAAATGGGGGCCAGCCTCTTCAGAGGGCTCACGGAGACCAGGTTCCCCAAGCGGCGCCCGGGGTTCGTGTCCCGGCGCAAGAGGGCCAGCCTGCGACCCAAAGGTACGGGTGATCTCTGCCGTTCCGCGTTCCTTAGTAGTCTAAAGATAGCGACGATCTGCACAATTCGTTTTGGATCATCATCATTTTAATTGTGCGTCGCTGCTGTGCCGATTTATGCGATTCATTCGAACTGCCTGCGCCGCGCTTGCAGTTTCAGTCTGGTTAATACTGCTGATGCTGCTGTTATTGGTTGGCAGGTCCGCACTACTGGGTGAGGTGCACGCCGGGGGAGCCTATCCCTTCGAGCCAGCCGAATAAGGGCAGCGTGCAGGGGAGGAAGGAGAAGAAGCGGATCAAGCAGCGCAAGGACTTCATCATGGTCTGCATTTGTTCAGTTCCCTGCAATGCTTGTTTTAATTGTGTGATGGGTGTATGCAAGGTTATCAAAATCTGTATGTGTCTCTGTAGTGGAAAAAATGAGAGACTGATGAAATCCTGAGAACGTAGGTAGTTTTAACAGACTGATGAAATCCTGAGAACATAGGTAGTTTTAACAGGGGGGGGGGGTTGAAATCCTGAGAATAGAAGTAATTTTTTCATGCTACTGAGCAGTGCTAAATATCATGTTAGAATTGGAACTAGCTAATCATAGTTTAGACGAGTAGTCGAGTGCGCATTTTAAAAGTATTGTGCTAATACAAACACCTACATTTTTTCTAACCCACTGTTCTTTATTCTTTCTTGCTTTTTTCCTTTTTATGTTCTTCTCATGGGCTTGAAGCTATAAGTTTGAAGTGCGTCAATACTTAATATCATGCAGCTTACTTTCGTGCTTCATATAGATTCAAAAACTTGTCTTGTTATAATGTAGTTCTATACCAAACTTTTGTTATGCTGTTCACTTATGCTCTGTCCATATGTCTAATAATTACCCAGACCTGAATTTTATATCTATAATTATTTCTTACATTCATTCATCTTGGTTCGGCAGGCTGAGAAGAGGAAGCGCAAAGCACAGTATTCTGTTGCTGTGAAGAGGAAGGAGGCAGAACGGACAGAAAGAAAGATGGCTGCAGTGGCAAGAGACCGGGCATGGGTGGAAAGGTTGGCAGAGCTAAAGCAGATAGAGGCAGAAAAGAAAGCTGCAATGGCTTGAGGAGCTCCTCTGGAAACGGCAAGGCGTCTAACTCGTTTCTGCTGCTCCGTTTCGTCTCTTTTTTTCTGTGCTACAGTTGCCAACAATGCCACAACCCTTCTCGGTGAAACTTTGGCTGTACCCCTCCTCTCAACAGCCATCCCAAAATGGCAGATTTTGTTTTGATATGATGTTCTCAAATTTGTCTTAAATGTAATGAAATATTGATTCTGTGTTGTATTTAGAATAAACCAAATGATCTTAGTTGTGTGCTGGTAATCAGAAATGACAAATGAGTGCAACCTTCTGTCACATTTATGGCAGAGAAGTTTGTACGGAGTCAGTATTGGAACTACAAGTGATTGTTATTGATCTACTGCTCATGTTCCTTGCCTCCCTTTGCATTCCACCCCATCAGTTCTGATGTCTTGGAGGAGCAGTTTATGTTGTTATGTTGCAGAATAGTGCATAAAAGTCACAGTCACAGTTCTAGAGAAGCATCTATAAATTAGATGCAGGTTGTTCTTTCATTGCTTCCAGTCTGCCATGTTCTTTTATCGGACATCTACTCCAGCCCTGCTCTTCCTGATGGCCCATGCCCCCTGTCCTGAGCACTCTGACCCCATTTCTCCAGATTTAGTTGCCTGGCAATTGTGGTTCAAGCATGCAAATTGCAGTGGATGCACAATGATCCCTGTCCGTTGCAGGGTTTAACCTCCTCTGCTGCAGGAATGCTCCTTGCAGAAACAACTGCTGCTATTATACTTCCCATATGACGAGAGTCCATG